TCTTGGCCAAGCTATTTTATTTTTTTATATTTTAGAGAAGGGTCTACAGGGTGTTCAGGGTCTTACTACTAGATTGGACTTGTAGTGATCTGCCTGTTTGCAGCATCCCAAGAGCTGGGATTACATGTGTGTGCCACCATGCCCACTCTCAAGCTATTATTTTAAATGACTCTACTACTCAATTATATTGATGGGATAGATAAAAGTAAGGTAGTCCACATCTGGATGTTGATGGATTATTATATTTATTAAGGGTTTTAATACTCTGTGTACTTTTGATATTCCTCAGTGTACGTCCGTATTAACCTGTCTCTTCAAGCAGACATGTATTGTATACACATATAAACTCATACACACACACACCCTTCTCTGCTTGTTGCTAGGTAATATCCATTTCCCTTTTCTTGGAGACAGGGTCTTGCTATGTAGTGGGAGCTGGCCTTGAACTCATGATGTAGTCCAGGCTGGCCACAAACTTATGGTGGTCCTCTTGGCCCAGCCTCCTGAGTGCTGGGCTTACCTGAATGTTCTACCATGCCTGGTGTTTAGTTATCCCTTTGAAAAACAATGTAAATATTCTTTTTAGATGAAGCTTTATTTTATTTTTTAGGAACTTAGCATATGTAAACTTCTGGGTTTTCCTTATCACCAATTACAAATCTACAGGCCTGCCTTGCTGGCCCTGCCCCTGGGGCATGCTAAGACAGAGATTGAATCTGGGCATGGTGGTGCATGCATGTAATCCTAGACCTTGGGAGGCTATAAACAGGAGAATCACTACGAGCCCAATCTAGTAGTGAGACCCTGAACACCCTGTAGACCCTTCCCTAAAATACAGAAAAAAAAAAAAAAAAAATTGCAAGCCTAGATGTGCCATAGTTTCTTCAGCCACTTCCCTTGTCTTTTCATTATACTGTTAAGAATTTTTTTTTTTTTTTTTTTCTTGTTGGAACTGGGGATTGAACTCAGGCCCTAGTGATTGTCAGGCAAGCACTTATTCTACTGAACCATCTCCCTGGCCCCAGTTGTGTTAAGAATTAAAGCTGAGGTGTTTTCCAGGTAAACACAAAGATGTACTGAATTGCATATGCAGTACTTTGCCAGAGGCAGTGATACAGAGTGATTGAGAGCTCCAGCTCTTGACTTAGACTGACTTGAAGCTTACTGTCTCTGTGACCTTTGGCAGATTAGATTCCTTACACTCTTGGGTCTGCGATTTCTTAATCTGTGGAACACGGATAATTATATGCCTATCTCAGGGCTGGCAAGATAGCTGTGTGGACTAAGTGCCTGCTTAGGCAAGTGCAGTGACCAGGGTTCGATTCCTAGCACCACATGCCGCCCCATGCTGTGCCGACCACTGAAACTGGGTGTGGTGGTGCATACCTGTAATCCCAGTGCTGGGGAGGCTGAAAACAGGAGGGTCACTATGAATCCAAACTGGGTAGTGAGACCCTGTGCCAGATACATTTAAAAAAAAAAAAAAATGCAAGATTTAAATAATAGAACGCATGTAAATGCAGGGTGTGGCAAGCACAATAAATGCTCAATAAGTGGTAGCTGGGGTACATGGCAAGTCTGTGAACCTATAACACTAAATTCCTTTTAAGAATTCTAGCAGATAATCAAGCACTATGTCTGTGACTTCTTTAGTCTAAAACAAAATCTTCTGGGTTAAAATTGTAGCTGTATCTCTCTGTCTTTAAAAGTTAAAAATTTAATATATTGAGTTGTATCTCTTTAAAAAAGTTTTAAAAATCTAATATATTGAATTATAAATTTATATATAAAACAGGTTATACTCCTCTAAGTGTTAGCTGAGTGAGTTTTGACAAATCTATGCACTGGAATAACTACCTCTACTACCAAGATATAAAATATTTCTATCACCTCAGAAAGTTTATGCTCAGTTTAAGGTTGATCTCTACAGTCTTTGTTTTATTTCTTTCCTGGTACTTGAGCTTGAACCCAGGGCCTTTGCACTAAGTTGTATATCTGCCCTTTTAAAACTTAAAAAAAAAAAATGGAGACAGAATCTTGCTGAGTTGCCTGGGTATGACTCAAATTTGGAGTTCTGCCTCAGTCTCTCTGAGTGCTGGGATGATACCATGCAGACGATACCATGCCTAGCCCTGACTTTTTTAATAATAAATATTTTTCGTAACATTGGTAGTAGAACCAGGATCAAAGTGATGGTTTAGGTGATGCCAAAGGCCTTATTCTTTTTTTTTTCTTCCAGTTTTTATGTATTTGGTAAAGGGCCTCACTATGCAGCTTGGACTAAAGTGATCCTCGTGTTTTCAGCCTCCCCGGCGCTGGGATTACGTGTGCCCAGACTCAGTCACTGGCTTAGTGTGCCCTGAGGGTGGGGCTGGCATGGTATGAGGGACCAGAATCAAACCCTGCGCTTGCCAGAGCAGGCGCTTTAGTCTGTTGAACTATCTTGTGGGCTGCAAAGGCTGTATTCTTAAACCACTATATAATCTTATTTCAAACTTTTATTCTCAAATTTATTACTAGATAACAGCAATATTGAAACTTACATAAGGATGTGTACTACTCAAATTTGGCAAACTAATGAGTAGACATTAAATTCTTTGGAAGGGGACCCGAGGAGATAGCTCAGCAGAATAAGTGCTTGCCTGACAAGCACAAGGGCCTGACTTTAATCCCCAGTTCTGCCAAAAAAAAAAAAAAAAAACCAAAAAACTTCTTTGGAAGAAATGTTTATTTTCTTTATAATTATGACTTTAATATTCTTACAAAACTTTGCAAATGGGCAATTTTTTTTAACATCCTTTGGTTTTCTTAGTATGTAAATATTGAATATGTAGTAATTATTTTTAGCACCTGATACTCAGGAGTTAAAGGAGAAAGGGTTTATTTGTTCACATTTTGTAGAGGTTTCCATTTATAGTTGGCTGGGTCCAGTGCAGGGCAGCATGGCAGAGTAGAAACAGCTCATGATGTGGCAGTGAAAACAGAATGAAATAATGGAGAAGGGAGAGAGACCCTTCTCGGCCGTACCCTCCGTGACCACCTCCTCCTCCAGGCTTCACCTTCCAGTGTCACGTTTAGCTGTAGACTCGTCACTGATGAGTGTCATTCTCCTATGATCCAGTCACCTCCAGACTTTGGCAGGAAATCTAGATATAAACTGTAACACCAGGTTTAAAGCTAATTATTTATGACTGAGCTTTAAACAGTAAGATGTAGGTATTGTTTACCCTTTTGTCTTACAGTTTCGTATTAATCACTTTTCGTTGTATCTTTTTTAGTTGACAATGTCATATTCTTTATTTTTTCAGTTTTTTTCATGGTTTGCAAAACTGCAAACTCAGATGGACCAGGATGAAGGAATAAAATATAGGTATGTCTGGTTCCTATATTTGTTGGATATTGTAATTTTTAGATCACAGTTACCTCATGCATTTCATATTCTGTGTTCTTAAATAAATTAAGTTGCAGAGAAGACACCAACATACACATTTTGTTTAAAAATAGCCTGAGAGAGGATTTGGGTCATAATAACTGGTATTGAAAGCCAGGTGATTAAAAAACCAGGTATCTCTGGAAGGGACTGGGTTTAAGTAGTTTTACATGAACTCTCAGAAGTGTTTGTTACCTTCCTGTATAAGGAGAAGCATCCATAAGAGACTTTAAGGATGGCTGTCTAGGTGTGGTTTAACTCTGTAGTTCTAGTTGTATATACTGAGTGTACAGGTTCTAGCTGATTTCAGAATTGTGGGTTGGTGTTCATATTCAGCAAACATTTATAGATGACTGTTATTGCTAGGCAGTGTGGTAGGCTCTTTGGTGTGAGATCTCCTTTAATCTTCATAGCAGCTTTATGTGCAAAGTTAATTACTATTTCTGTTTTATAAAAGAGTGAACAGACCTATAAATATTTAGTAACTTGCTCAACATCACACAGGCTTAGAGCTGGGACTTGGACCTATGACTTCCGATTCCCAGTCGGGAATTCTCTACAGCATCACACCATCCCTTATTGACTGTATTTGATGCCTTGGGTTGGCTTGGAGTCTCACTCATTGAAAATTGAGCCATTACCTGACATCTGAAAAGCCAAGTTAAAGTTAATTTTTTGTTGTTTTTAAATATTGAAACACTTTATGACATAGCTTTTGGTGTATTTCTGAAGTATAATCACTTTTGCTAGTAGGTCAGACTTTGCTCTTGAAATTCAAGCTTGTAGGGAAAATGAGACATTTCATATTTTTTTGACTGTGCTTATTGGGGGAAGATATTACTGCCAATCCCCTTTTGGTTCTGTTTTCTAGACAGATGAGGGATTACTTGTCTGGGTTTCAGGAGCAGTGTGATGCTATATTGAATGATGTAAACAGCGCTCTTCAGCATCTGGAGTCATTGCAGAAGCAGTATCTTTTTGTGTCTAATAAGACAGGAACCCTACATGAAGCCTGCGAACAGCTCCTAAAAGAACAGGTAATTTGGAGTAGAGAGAAGGCCAGTGATTATAGTTAATATTTTATTTTAAATAGATGAATGCAGTTTAATTCCTCAATCTCTTTTTTTTCTTTTTGTATTTAGTACAGGGTCTACAGGGTCTCTGTCTATACGTAGATTGGACTCTTAGTGATCCACCTGTGTTCACCCTTCCAAGAACTGGGATTACAGGCTTGGACCTCCATGCCCAGTCTCAATAGCTAGCTCAGTGTGCCCTGGCGGCGGGGCCCGCACAGTGCACAGAGGATTGAACCCTTGCTGCTGCGTCTGTTTTAAGCAGGCGGTTTAATCTTTTTTTTTTTTTTTGGCAGAACCGGGATTTAACTCAGCCCCTTGCGCTTGCCAGGGAAGTGCTTATTCTACTGAGCCATCTCCCCAGCCCCATCAGTCTTTTTTTAAGTGTACGTTGAACATTGCTCTGAATGAGTTCTTGTGCTTTTTCTTTCTGTTTTGGTACTGGGGATTGAACTCCGGATCTTGCACTTGCCAGGCAGGTGCTTGTGCTGCTGAGCGATAGCCCTGGCCAGAATCCTTGTGCTAATAAGTATGTGGGACAGCTTGCTTTCTCAGTGAGCTCATATAAAGAGGGGCAAATGCAAGCTTTCCTTTGTTATGAGCCATTTTCAGTACAGTTTCAGAATTTGGTGCATATGTTAGTTTGGTCTGTCCATTCTTTATTAGTAACATTTCATAAATAGAGTGCTAGTAGTGGTGTTTTAAAAAGATGCATTGATAGAAATTGCACTTAAACTGGTGACTTAGAGATAAAATACTGAAAACTATGTCTTGGAATTTTCTCTGCATGTGTTTTATAGGTTTTGGAAGACAATCATTTATTATTTTGTAATCATGAAATTTACTGTGATAAATTACAGTAATTTATTACAGTAAATTTACTGTAATAATTAATATCTCTTAATTCATGACTACAGAAATATTTGACCATTATTTGGAAATTTGTAAACCTACATGTCTAATATAAATCTTGAGACTGGAGGGTTGATTTTCTTGGTCTTAATAGTAATTGATTTTTCTCTTTTAAAAATGCAAGTCGGAACTTGTTGATCTGGCTGAAAATATTCAACAAAAGCTTTCTTATTTTAATGAATTGGAAACTATTACTACAGTAAGTGCTTTTTACTTTTTTGTAAAGTGATTTTTATGTTCTTTCTTAATTTTTAATCTTATAAATTGGTTTGAATTACACTGTAACTTAAATAGAGATACTATTATTAGCTGAGAGTTAAAACTATGGTTTAAGTATTTTAAGTTGTATTATTATTAAAATCTTTAGTTGGTTGCCTTATATCTACAAACTGTGAAGAAAATTATAAGAAAGAATATTCAATTTTAAATCTTGCTGTGATTGTACTACTACAATAGTGAAAAGTTTTTGAGTAAACTTACATGTTTAGTTTGAAGAAATTGTCGAGCCTTCATAACGTCCCCATAAATAATCCCCATAAAAACTGTTGTGTAAGTTATATTTCTGTTTATGATTTATAAATTAATCATAATTCTGTATAAGTCATGTTATTAAATTATGAAAATGGCCAATACAGTTTAATAAAAGCAAGAAATAAAGCTTGTGTGTAGAAGTAAAACCATGGAATGCAGTGAACCATGGAATAGTTTATTGGCAAGTTGTATATCAAGTTATGAAATAATTGACTAATAATATTTTACTTTAACAGTATGACTTAAAATTAATCCTTTCACCATAAGAAAATTGCCAGTGCTTGAAAGTGGAAAAATTATATATGTTATAAAGTACTACAGAGTAGGAAATCTGAGTACTTGATATATTATTTCAATACAACATTGTGTGGTGGTGTAGTAAAAAAGTTGGCTAATTCATGCAGAGTCCCATTAAAGCTTAGTAGGAATAAACTGACTTAAGCCAGTATTCTTTTCTATTTTTTTTTTTATTAGTGCACATGGACTGTATTTGAGGATATATTGATAACTTTTAAAATATATTGTAAAGGTACTAGTATATCTTAAAGGAAAATATCAATTCTAATTAATAAATTTAAACTTTTACCTATATTTTGTTTTGTCAATTAATTGATTTTTTTTCTCTTTGAAGAAATTGAACTCTCCTACATTGTCTGTGAATAGTGAAGGATTTATACCGATGCTGGCCAAGTTAGATGACTGTATAACCTATATTTCATCTCATGTAAGTAGTGGTATTTGTATAACAAAATCTTTTTTTAAATTAATTTTATTGAGGAACAGATAGCAATGAGACAGTTTCAAAACTGATTAGTAGGACAGTTTCAATAATTAATACATTGCATATTGTTATCTTCTTAGTGGTTATTCATAGTACAAGATGCAGACATGATATCCTGTCCAAATACTATTAGTACAAATCTATCTTCTTATTGAATTAAAAGAAAGTAGTTGTATATCTAGCCTAACTATTTTGTATATACAGATACAAAATGGTCCTTCATTTGTATTCCCTTTTTTGTTTAGTTTTGTTAGAGATGGGTATTCCATTGTCATTTAAATATTGTAGGTGCATGAATTCAGCTAAAGAATCCAATATAGTCCAGTAGTCCATAATAGTAGTGGGTTATCTATAGGATTGGCAGTGTCAGAAGTTGTTGACTTGAGTCTTTTGCAGCTCAGCATATTAATATGGCTTTATATTTTATACTTTGTTTTCATACTTTTCTGCTGTATTGTTAAGACCAAGATAAAGCAAGACCTGTATAACAAGAAATGTATCTTTTGTATCTGATAAGGTCAGTCAAGTCCCCTCAGGATTTATCCTGTTACCCTGTTCCACAGTTTGCAGATCCTTTGTCAGTGTCAGCCATGTGGATGAGTCATGGCCATCCTTGCTTGATCAATTTGCTCTCTGTGAAAGCCTGAGAGAATGTTTTCTCTCCATGTGACTCTCCTTAGGCACACTCTATGTCATCAATCACATTGCTTTGTGGCCCCCCATAATCTCCTTGATCAGAAAATTTGGGACACAACTGAGTTACATGATGTGTAAACAAAATCTTATTTTTTATTTTTTGGCGAAACTGGGGATTGAACTCAGAACCTTGCACTTGCCAGGCAAGCACTTATTCTACTGAGCCATCTCCCCGGCCCTGTAAACAAAATCTTAACATTCCCATTGTAATACTTTTTGTGTGTTATTATAATTATTTCTTCTGAAAGAAAACATATGGTCACCTGTCTTTATTTATAGGTTCTGCATGTGTGAATTCAATGAATTGCAAATCATAAAGACTCAGAAGTAAACATCACATCTGTACTGACCTTGTACAGACTTTCTTTTCATTACTCCCTAAACCATATTGTTGCAATTATTTACATAACATTCTCATTGTATTGG